TGCTATTACCAAGAATGTGTAGAAAGTATAAAATTTACCTCACTAAATTTGGTTTCCCCATTAAAATAGAAACATCTTAGCTAGTAGCTAAATAATTGGTTGGTAGGAATCCTTTTGTAAAAGTTGGTGTTCCTTTGTTATTTTATATCTGTTTATATGGATAAATATGTATGTTTATGTGTTGTTCATGCACTTGAGAATGAGTAAAAAAACTTTTTCACTGCTATTTGGGTCATTTTAGGCTAATGTGTTTGCCACAAAACAGTAAAAAGCCAGTTTACAACATCATTAAACTGCATTTTGGTAAAAATGTCTGGTTAGTTACTAAATATGGACTATATTATTTATACACGAGTCATGTTAACATGCTAATGTCAGTTAGTTGAGTTAGCTATGCAACCGTTAACACCTGACAGTAACTGGGTGTATATGTGTATTTAGTAACAACTAATCTCTACGTAAGAACTAGTTTGTGTGGTGGAACCGCTTTTAATTTAGTCATGTGTATTTGTATAAAAGAGCTGGTGCAACCTGCTCCCAGTTTCATCAGCAAAAGCTACTATAAAAACTCCAGTAGAAAATTACTAAAAATTAAAACTGTTGTTGACAGTACGTGAACATAACTAAATTGAATTTCCCCTAGCGGGATAAATAAAGTATTCTTTATTAATCTTTTTTTTTTCATGCAGTGGCATAGCAAATTCCAAAAAATCACTTGCTGCTTTTGCAATCCAGTTTGTTTATTAGGAAACACAAATGATTTGTTAGGTTGCTTCTGGGTGCCTTTAACTGCTGAGATAAAGGTTTTCAGTGACTCTAAGGGCATTTTTCAAACCGTAAAATTCTGTCATTTCTTTTTCAGGCTCACTGACTCTCCATCACTGGCAGCAGCTGGCGAAACCCCACCTGGCCACCATCCTGGACCCCCACCCTGGGGTGGTGACCAAGGGTTTCTGCCCACTGGTTCAGGATTCTGTCTACCGCTTGTCTGACATGGAGGAGGATGAGGAGGATGAAGAGCACAGAGAGACAGGTGTCGTGGAGAAGGGGGCCGCGGAGCGGGGTAAGGAAGAGGAGGATGAGGAAGAGGAGGAAAGTGGGATTACTTTCAAGGTGTGCTTTTCGTCTACGCCAGAGGAGAGGAAAGACAGAAAGCATTCTGTCTCGCCTCTCCCTGTCCCTCCTCTCTCTCAAACTCTGCCGACATCACCTGGGACACCTGCCACTTCCTCCTCTGTCAGATCAGACCTGTGTCTGACCCCCGCAAACCGGCATGTCACTGAGAAATCCAGCCTGACGTCTCAGCCCACTCCAGGAGCGTGTACAGCAACGGTCCTATCACAAAGTCAGATTTGTACCTCGACGTCAACAACAGCATCTTCCTCTGGTAAAAACTACTTGTGCAATACACTGTATTTCAATGAGGAATTTTAGGATGAGCTCATTGTTGCCATCACGAGTAGGATTGTTTTTCTCACAATATGATTTATTGTGTGTTCAGTCCAAAATCCAGGCAAGTGCCAGAGCTCCACCTTCTCCACGTATACCTTCACCACCTGTCGCATCCTGCACCCCAGTGACATCACACAGGTGACCTCAAGGTAAGTCCTCTTCATAGGAGAACTTTTATAACATTTCTTTTTTTAATTACGGCCTGATTAGTGATGGGACGACAGGAAATGAAGGGGTACGATTAATGAGAAAGAATAATGACATCCTATCGAGGGCAGGCATCTTATTTAAAGCCATTGCTTTATAACAAAAATCCAGATAGACCATGTAGAGGCCTGTGCAGGCAACTGACCATTCGCTAATCTCTGCCTTCCTTAGTTAGCTAGTTATACCTTTTAAGCCTTCTGTTCCAGCACTGCACATTATGCAGTTTACAATGATTTATGGAAGTCAGTGGAGGTAGCTTGTTAATTTAGCTAACGTTAAGCTCCATAAATTGGTTTAAAACTCTGGCTGACTTTTTAATGTTTCCAGCTGATTTGTTTTAAAATGTGCGCTTTATGGCTACATACACTATATCATGATAAACAGCTACAAGTTCCGGCAAACCTTTTTTTAAATGTATTCTGTAACCTCATGAACTGATGTAGTTAGTTAATGATGTGATAATGTGCTTGGTATTGGAAGTAAGAATAGAGCAGCAACCTCAGTTAGTTAGCTGGGCATGCTAACAATAGCCATTGTTCGAATGAAACGCTAATATGTGCCTCTCTTTTCTCACCTTGTTTCTGTCTTCATGTTTTTCAGTTCTCAGTCGCCCCTCTTCGCCAACACACCCAGCTCCATGAGGACAGGTCCCAGCACCCCTGTGACTCCTTGCAGACTGAGTCTGGGTGACTCCTTTCCCCCTCGACGTCCCCCTGCGCCCACCAGCGGCCTGGCCAAGCTGGTCCTGGAGAGGGGCATTTCTGCACAAGTCTCCACTGACACCCCTCCTCCATCCCCAAAACCCACACCCCGGCAGCCCCTCTTCCACCTCCTCCCAAGCACACCCCCTAACTCTCCTTCCCACTCACCTGCTCCCTCCCCGGTGCCCATGGAGTCCCGCCAACACCCGGCTGACAATTTCCTAGCTTCACGGCCAGCAGAGCTTTTTCTCCAGGACGTTTACGGGTTGAATCTGGGCCGTGCACCACATCCCGACCTGCCAAGCCCTTCCTTGGAAACTCCAGCCCTGGTCCCGTCCCCTAAATCGGGCAGAGCCAGACCTGACCCAGTCAGTGTTGGCCTAGTGGAGAGGTTGCGGCGGCTCGGGTTCACCAAGGTGCTCCAGGGTTCAGAGTCTGAGGCTTCAGTGCCACGACAGGATTCTTCTACTTTTGTGTCAGCAGGCGGAGGAAGCCTATTGGATGGCTTGAGGCGCAACCAGAGCCTCCCAGCCATGATTGGTGCCCGAGCGGGGAAGTCAGCTGGTAATCCTCCACCTCCTCCTCACCCCACCTCCTTGGCCCTCCCTCCATCACCCTGGGGAAACCCCAAAGAACGTCGCCGGCACCTTGCCTCTGTCCCCCATGCCCCATCAAGTTCAACCAAACGCTGAAGGGGAGAGGTGGATGGACCGGGAGGGAGGGCAAACACTCCAGAACATGAACCCCTCCTTTACACCTCCATCCTCTTCTTCCTCCCTTCATATCTCTTCCTTTTTGCCTTTGGAGAGAGGAGTCAGGGCATCCGGTGGGCAGAACAATCCCCTCCTTTTTATGACTTAATTTTAAAGCACAATTGAACTAAATTGACTGTTTTTAGCAACGCCGCAGTGTCTGTGTAGATGTTTGCCATTATGCGACTTATGGAGGCCTTTTCTTGCCTCTGAGTGGGTTATTCAGCTCTCGGTACCTTCTCAGTTGTGTATGAATCTTAATAAGGTTATGTGGTTTTCCTGCTAGGCTCTGGATGTTCAGGTACAGGTAGAGGAGGTTGGGTAAAGGACAACGTAAGTAAGTGTACGAAGGTTTGTGGACGTGGATTAGAAAAGAATAAGAGTTAAGATAAAGGTATGGAAGGAAGGGAGAGTGTGGTCAGAAGAGAAAGTAAGTGAAAGGCGAAGAGAGAAAGGCTGAGCATCCAGAGTCTTGATATTTTAAAGGGCTTGTTCTGTAGTGGATTGGAAAATCTTTAGTCTGTAATAAAACAGTATCATCTGCAAATAATTTGAAGTCAGAAAAGAAGGGATTTACTTGGACTTTTAAGTGCTAGCTAGCTTAACGGCATACTGCCAGGCTAATCTTGTAATCAGACCATGCCATTAACATGCCAGTATTAATATTATAATTATTTTACAGTAATCCATTGTCGCACGGATATTTGGTGACCGTCCATGTGCCGTTCCCCTTTTCTCCGCCTTTTGCAAGCGTCTGCATGACACGTCCAAAGCGAACTTGCCTACAGGCCCCTGCATGCACCTGTCGGCACACTGGTTGGGCCGCACTGAAGGCAAGGGTCAGATCCATATCGGCAGGCAAATAAAGAAATGAGTCTGCCTTTTTCCTTCAGGTCCTTAAATAGAAGCTAGCACTTTTGTGTTCCTGTTTAGACATGTTTGTATATATTAGTTCAACTCTGTGGGATTTGGCGGTTGAGTTTGTGTTCGTTTGAGCAGCACTGCTTGGTTGAAAATATTTCACCACCGCTTCTAGGACTTTTATTGTTGAGTATTCTTTATCTCAGGCCTGTGGGACGTTCAGTTTTGGTCTGTTAAGAGGGGAAATCCATTGACACATTTTTTTTGTTGTGTATCACATCCAGGTTTAGTATACAGTACGTGGTTGTTTTCTGTGCTTGGTGTCTCGGGGTTATTTCAACCTCATATGTGGTTCTCACATTGGCCAGCAGGTGGGAGTATTCCTGGAGGAAAGCACATAGTTCATCCACATACTACTTTATAATATAAAATATCATGTTTAAATAAAAGGAAGCATAGAGCTTTGTGCTTGACCCCTGTGGCCATCCAGCCGTCAGCGCTGCTGTCCCTGACGTTCATTAATCCAGCCAATCCCTCCCACTCAGCTCCTGCACTTTTTCATTTAACCTTTTGTTTAAGTGACACCACTATTTGAAGTATATAGAGTCTAACATATTAATGAGAAATTTTAGCATAATGTGTGCCTATTGTAACAATGTCAGCTAACACAAGATTTTTTAATATATGTAGAAATTTCGTTTTGCTTTCCACATGAAGAGGCCCACAGAAGGGAATCCACATCAAGCCAAAAGTGTTACTTTTATTTTATTTTGAGGAAATTGAATACTCTGGCTCACATATGTTTATGTGATATGTTTTGTGCTAATTGACTATCGCATTTAATAAAGGAAGAAGCGCTTCAGTTTATTGTTTTGTACATGTGTGGGATTGAAGAGAACAGGAAAGAAGGCACATCCAGACTGTTATATCGTTTCAGATTTGTCATAGTTGTCATATCCACTGTTTTCCAGTAAAGCAGGTATGTGTCTTTCTTTGTTTAAAGTATAAAATGTCCTGTGATTTTTTTTTTTTTTTTTCATGATCTGTACTACTCATGGTTATTATTCAGTTGTCTCTTCTTTTTTTTTTTTTAATAAAGCAATGGAAACAAAGCCACTGGCTCACTGACAATCATCACTTAATAAAGCAGTCTTTCGTTTTGCAGGTCAGAATCAGAAATACTTTGATTCCCGAGGGGCAATTCTGTAAAAGGGAAGGGGAAAATAGTTCTCTGCATTTAATCCATCCTTTTTAGGAGCAGTGGGCTGCCATCGTACAGCTCCCAGGGTGCGTTTCGGGGTTCAGGGCCTTGCTCAGAGGACACCTTCAGCATTGGTTCGTGGTGGACTCGATCCAGAGACCCACCGGTTTCTAAGCCAAGTCTTAACAGACTGAGCTAATGCCTCCCCAAACCAAAGTATTGGACAAATTAAAAATTTTAACCTGATGGCACAAAATGAAAAGTCAAAGGATCATCAGAATTATAACAATTTATCCTGAGGAGACATGAATATCTAAACCAAATTTGAAAGCAGTCCATCTATCATTTGTCAATTTGTTCCACTCCTTACCACAAACGTCAACCTCTCAGCAGCACTAGAGGAAAGGTCAGATTACCAAAGTCATTACAATTCATCCTTTAGGGACCACAAATGTCAGTATAAAATTTCATAGGAATCCATCCAGTGGTTTGAGATATTTCAGTCTGGACCAAAGTGGTGGACCGTCCATCCATGGAGCCACGGACTCAGTGCAAGTTTAGCTTTTTGTGGAGAACAGAAACTTCTTTCACTAAGGCAGTATACAAGCTGAAAGAAAAAAAGATCAGGTGAAACCAGACTTCCAGTCTTTGTGTCCTGACCGTTTGGAATGAGTTTGATCATTATGACCACTTCCAAGCTGCTCTGTTATACTCTGAAGTCAGTTGTTTTATCGACATGAATGCCAAAAAGTGGTGGACAAAGTATTCAGATCCTTTTCTCAAGTAAAAGTCATGCATTGAAAATGTTATTTAAGTAAAAGTATGTAAGTATATTTAGGAAAAAGTACTTAAAGTAAAAGTGACACATATTTCAGCCCATAATTATACTAATACATATTATATATTGTTATTATTACTCATACAGTCATGTAAAAACAGAATTTTACTGTTATAGATAGCTATTTTGACTGTATCTAATTTTTATTTTCATCATGGATTAATCATTTATAATTTTCTCCATTCATCGATTGATTGGTTGGTTTGTAAAAATTCTGAAAATAGTGAGAAATGCCATCGCAATTACCCAGAGCCCAAAGTGACACCGTTCCCATGCTTATTTTGTCCAACCAACCGCCCAGACCTCAAAATAAATAAATAAATAAATACATTTAAATTATTAAAATAATTAAGAGGAGCCGTAAAGCTGTAAATTTTCACATTCGTGAAACTAGAACCATCAAATAAAAAATGACAATGCTGATTTATTTCTGTCAATCGTTTTATCTGTTTAAACTGTTGCACAGTTTAATTTATAGCATAACATCATTAAAGCTTCATGTGTTGTCTGTAACTAGTAATTAAATCTGTCAGCTAAATTAAGTGAAGTAAATATTTCCCACTAACTTGTAGTGGAGTTGAAGTAGGAAGTGGTATAAAAAGAAAGTACCCAAGTAAAGTACAAGTAGACTACCTCAAATGTGTACTTCAGTAAATGTACTTAGTTACTGTCCACCCCTGTCCGCCAATCACTGCCTTCCATCCTGCATCCTCATATGGGACAGATCTTGATGCTGTCAGAGCTGGAGCTGAACTGGCCGAGGGCAAAGTCCAGACCGACCCCGACTCCACTGCCCACGCCGAAGGCAGCGTACAGAGGCTGGGTGAAGTTGGCGCGGAATGTGTGGAGGTGTGTCATGCTCCCTGCCACGCTGTAGAACGCTAGCGTCCCTGTGGACAGGTCCAGGTAAATGCCCAGGCGGGGCGAGTAGGTGACCGGTATGTCCCTCTTCTCATTTTCGTGCATGGCTGAGCAGCAGGTGTCCGACAGCTCCAGGGTCCAGGACTGGGCGTTGTAACCGAGCCCCGACCTGGCGTCTGAGCCCTTCCTGTTCATCGCCCCATAGGCCACGCCAATGGAGGAGCCCCGGCCTCTCCACTCCACCTCCCAGTAACAGCGCTCGCCATACAGCGGGGTTGGGCACATCACCTGGGTCCAGCCGTCGAAACGCTGGGGAGTGTCGGGGTAGGGCTGCGATGTCCCTTGCAGGGTGGCTTTGGTGTGGCCCTCGGAGAGAACCAGCCGCCGGTGGGCCGTATTTGGGTCAAGGGTCAACATCACAGTGTCTAGGAAAGGGAGGAGAAATTAAGTTCATGCTTGACCTTTGCCCCTTACTAGCTTTTTTCAGTTCTTTTCTACTGTATCACATGGTCTACATCAGCAGGCGGAGTTTGCACAGTTGCTATGAAGATGGATCTGTTGACATGTTAGCTCAGTAGCTGTTACGGTTTCATCCATGGAGCTCTTAGAATTTCTTGTCCATGTCAGTAAACAAGTTGATGACGATCATGTGAAACAGCAGAAAGCACCTGTACAAACCCCTAATAAACTTAGTATTTTCTCAGATTTCTTTAAGTAAACATGAACAGCAATAAGCGCCGAGGGTTGACTGTTTTTTTTAGCAATCACTGCGGCAGACATGACATGAGTCATTAGTCCTGCAAAAGTTTTTCTCAGTGAAAGCCTGATTGCTCAGTGTAGAAAGTCATCTAAGATCTAAAATGTAACATTGAAGCGAAGCATTGACACTCACACTGTAGGAACTCCTCTCTGGTCCTCGGCTCTGGGGCCTGGATGCTGTCAATGTTGATTTCTCTCACTGGAAAACCAAACAATACTGTACGTAAGCTCATGCACAAAGAGAGAGAGACATTGATTTTGTTTATTTTGCTGGGTTTTTTGTTGGATGAATCATTGTATTTATATTATATTTAGATTTTTTTAATGTTTCATTTATTTGCAGTTTCTCATCTCAAAATGTCGATACCACGAAGATAAAAGTTACATGAACTCACATGCAGGGAAAGCAGGAGAGTGCATCACGGTGTCAGGTGTGGGCAAGTCCAGGAAGAGACTGGGGTTAACTGTTCAATTACAAAACCATCTTAGACACATTAGTATTAACGCACACTTGTCCATGTGAAATAACAGTACTGAATGTACCATTAAGCCAAAAGAACAATATTCATTTTATATATATATAAAGACATCTTACTTCCTGTTGGTGTTTCAGGCAGAGCATCAATTCCCCCTGTTGAGTGTACATGAGTCACACACTTAATCACACACATAATCAACGTGCTTTATAACTATACTGAGGTAAAGATTTTCTATAGTATCACAGAAGACCCAAAATTCTTACTTACAATACTGTACAAGCATTCAAAGGTCCACATGTTTCTAGAGACACAGGGATGATTCTTGTATCTATTGATATCTGTGGCCATCACAACATTGCTGCTTGTATTTATGTTTATTTAAGAAATAAAGGTCATTATGTTTGCCATGGAAGACTGCTCTAAAGAAGAGCGCCAGCTACAGTAGATTCATCTAAACTGGATACTGAACAACCAAATTAATAGATTAAGCTTGACAGATACTTTTAAATCCTCTTTCAAGTTTTCCAGAGCCCGCAGTGAAAGTTATCCAAACTGCAGTGCAAAAGGCAGATTTAGGATATTAGATGAGTTGTGTAAAGTAATGAATTTCTGGAAGACTTGAGGTGGTGAAAGAAGAGGATTATTTAAGTCCATGGAAAATAAGCTTGGCTGAAAAATTAGCAGGGTGAAATAAAAATGATCCCTTTTGAAGTCTTTCTGCTTTTCTGTCTTTTTGTGTTGTTATAATTTTGTAATAAATTTCAACTCATCACCTGACATTTCAGCAGCTTTCATCTCTTGCTCTTCAAATACAAATCCTTTCACCACTTACACGTCAACTGATATTTCTACTCTATTAATCTTTTTCTCTTCAGCTGATGTTTCCACTCAATTCAGTGCTTACACCTTGACTGACACCTCAAACCCTTTCAGGTCCTCACCTTTGAACAACAACAACAAAAAAAAAAGCTCTCCCAACTTCCAGCGTTCATACACATTTAACTCCAACTGCTTTCAGTGCAGAACAGCTGACACTTCACCATGTTTTAGCGTACACACTTGAACTTGCACTAAATTCTTTCAGGACTTCCACTTTGACTGACACTTACAGATCAATGTATCACCCACACTTGACACTGAAACTCTTTTCAAAAGTTCAACTGATACTTCAGCAGTTAAGTGCTTGCTCTTCAACTGATACTTCAACTTCTTTCAGCACCTCCTTTTAAACTGCTAATTCAAGCATAATTTTTATTTTATTAATTTTTTAAGAAGATGCAGCTACAGCAAATAGCTATTAACAACTGGCCATCAGCATTAAGGACAAATTGCATGTCCTGATATATTATATTAGCATGTACTATAAAAAGCTATATCTACATTAGTATCTAAGCCCTGCTTCTTTTCATCTCTTTCCATTGCCTCCCGCTGCAGATCATTGAAGTGGTTTTAATGCTGTGATTAGATAGCGGATAGGAACGTGATCTCACATGGGTTTCCTCCTGCAGATGGTGAGTTATTGGCTGGGGTAGCTGGGGTGGCCTGGCTGGTGCCACGCCGATGGGAGCGAAAGAGGCTGCTGATCGACGCCATCCGACTGAAACCTGACCGAACCAGGAGGATAAGACAAAGGTCAGAGATGGAAAACAAAAGGTGTTACACTCTCATTTATTTTTCTGTCAGATGAGATAAGATAAAGATGTTCCTTTATTGATCCCCCATAAAGTAAATTCAAGTTGCAACATTTATTTTACCTCCAGTTGATGCTGGTGCAGGAGCTGGAGCAGGAGCAGGAGCAGGAGCAGGAGCAGGAGTTGGGGTAGGAGTTGGAGTGGCTGGGATTGGAGTCAGAGTTGGGGTCGGGGCTGCAGCAGGGACACGCTGGCTATGACTGGACCTGCTCCAAAGAGACTGAGACTCTCTGCGGCTGGGAGTGGGGCCGGGTCTGGTCTCCCTCTCTGTTTGGAAGACATGTGAGATGTCAGATCAAGGTTGGGGATACAGTACAACCAGTGTCAGCTGGTAACATCTTAACAAATATATTAGTTACTGATCCAAACACTATGTTTGAAAAGCTTATTACCGTACATTCACATTAAATTTATTTTATCAAGCTATATTATTCACATGGAACTGCATGTAAGAAGAGTTTATTTATTGTAGTAGCACCACTTTAGATGGGATGTCACAAAGTGCTTACATAAACATAATAGACAGAGACATAATATAAAAGATAAATAAAATAGAGATAAAAATAAATACACCTAAACAAAGGAAAGTCTAAACAGGTGGGTCTGAAGCTGATTTTGAAAGGGGTACTTTATGACATTCACATTATTTTGTGAAAAATGAAAGAAACCATAAAATATTTACATTTTAAGACGCTTGAATAAAAGAATTTGAACATTTTTTCTTAGACAAATAACAAAAATAGTTGGCAATTACTTTTATAGTTGACAAGTAATCGATTAAACGACTAATCGTGGCAGCTCAATGACATTGTCGGCCACGCTACAGTAGCTAGGTATGGCTGTATATAGGCACAGCTGTGCTTTGAGCTAAATGCTAACATGTTCATAATGACAATCTTAACATGTTGACGGTTGGTAGGCACAATGTTTACCATGTTCACCAGCTTAGTTAAGTATGTTAGCATGCTAACATTTGCTAGTAAGCACTAAAGATTGGGAGACATAGTTACCAAAAGCAACTGAAAAACTCTGGTAATAGAGGAACCACTCCAGGGCTGACCCAGAGTCAACCACCCACTGCCTAAGGATATAGTGGATCTAATGCATCTGAGTTAAAGGACAAAATGAGCAACTGAAAATGAATATGCTGTGTAATTCTATACTTTTAGAACATGAGGACATGCAGAAACATTTCTGTCAGTAGGAAGTAACAGCCACATTATTACCAGGAAGTCTTTGGGTTTTAAATCAGAGCCAGTGTGACCTCCTGCCAGGCAAAGCATGAATGAACCTACCCGTCTCTCTTTCCTCTCTTCTCTGTCTGTCCCGAAGTCTGGGTGAGTTCGTGTTTCCTTTGTATGCGACAAGAAAGAAGCATAGTTTAAAAACGTGCACACACACATTTTTACTGCTTCGACAACTGCTAGTTCAAGCATCAAATCTTACCTCGTGGTGTGTCTCTGCTCCTCACATCCTGACTTTTGAGCCCTATACCTGAATAATTAATGTGAATGTCATGTTTAACAAGGACTACACATTGAAATACCTTTGATACTGTCACACATATGAACATTAGTGTACAGTACCAAGTCCTCGTCTGTCTGTACTCCGCGCTCCAACTGAGATACTGGGTGTGGAAGCTGTGGAAGCTGAAAGAAATCATGTATATATTACATGTATTTATATAAAATCTAATAAAGTGAAAAGATGCACAGATAGGACATAAAACATAGACTTAAAAGCATTGGACATACCTGGTGAACGGTTGTTTGTGTTGCGAGAACCCAGACCAGAAAAGACTACAGAAAAAAGGGGAAATAATCAGAAAATTTGTTTCAGGATCATGGAACATGTAGTATGTGTACAATATATTCAGATAAAAAAAACAAACTTACATTTAAAAATCGCTCCTTTCTGTCCTGCACTCCGGTTGGCTAGAAAAGATTAGAGGAAGTCATTGTTAGGAAAGAAGACTCAACCCACCTGCGACTTTTGTTATGCTCATGTTTGGAACTTACGGTCTCCCAAAGTGAACAGTGTTGTGTCATTGACTGGAAGAGAACAGACAATAAGATGAGACGTGAAAACGAAAGAAGGTAGGTTAAACAAGATAAGACTCTTGTGACAGACCTTGTTTGGTGATCTTGCTTAGCTCCTCGTTGCACAGGTCCTCCACTCGCTCCTTGATAGCCAGTATGGCGTCTCGTACAGGCTCAAAGGAAGCTTCTGGATTGACCACCACAGTGGGCAGGTCCCCGGACTCCAGGGGACTGCACATGGACTCATATGTCTGAAGGAAAACGTGGCGGTGAGTTTGACTCTTGGGGGAAACGTATAGACTACAGCAGTCCGGACCTTCAACTCTACTACTTCAAATAAAAACCACAAAAAAAGCATCCTGTTTGAAGCAGGTCTGATCATGCAGAATGATGCACATCATAAGAACACAAAGTGCCACATGGACACAGCAAGGTAAAGTAAACAAAATCTGTGTCAATCAGCATCTGAATATGTCAAGGTGGAGTGGTTAAACGAGATATTGGAGTTCAAGCTTCCTGTAAAGGAGACCCGTCCACCTCCTCCATCCCTCAATGAACTTGGTCCAGCCTACCTGCAGATAGTGGATGTGGTCGTCACAGCAGGCCAGGTCCTTCATCTCCGTGTCCCTCCTCCTCAGCTCCTTGACCTCGGCCTCCAGGCTGTCGGCAACCTCCTGAGCCTGGCCCAGCTTCTCCAGGCTGGCCTCATCCAGCACCTGTTCCAGCAGCTCCTGTAGACGCTCCATTGAGCGCTGCAGCTCCGACAGCACCTGCTCCGTGTCCTCATGGACCCTGTCTGAAGAACGCTTTGCAGGCAGGGAGAGAAACGGTAAGTTGTTTATGTCTCAGTCTGCCAAAATACACATGCAGTAAGGCCCACTTGCACCGATCTAAAACAACTGTGACATTATTGCAGGGTTTATGGGAAATGTGGTTTTTATTTTGAGAAATAGTGGGGGAAAAAAGCATGCACTTGCAAAATGGATGCAAGTTAACCCAACTCAGAGAAAAAGCTCCCAAAAGAAAAAGTCTGCTGACCAACCTTCATCGCCTCAATCATCGTCTTCATGTCTTTCAGCTCCTGCTCTCTGTCTTTCAGTCTCTGCTGATTCTGTGCATGGATCTCCGACATAACTTTCTACAGCATTACACATAAAGAGTCAACATCAAAACAATTCCCATCTATCTCACTCAAACAGACAAACGCAAGCAAGAGGAAACAGCTGTATATGTGACACTGAACATAATGTGAGATGGTGCGGTGTCATCCCTATGTTGTCAGGGTCCTGTGTTCCCCAGCTCTATATTCCCTTAATAAAACACATAAGACATGCTTTACATCAGTCTTACCTGTGATTTTAAAGCTTTACAAATACTGTTTTTTGTTACGATTTGTAAAAAGTTGATTGTTGATTCATTATGATTAGGGGTTAGGGCTAACCTTACAACCATGATCTTATCATTAATTTTCAAATTATGGTTCGAAAGATGAGAATCACACGTTCAAGCCAACTTGAACCCCGTGAAGTTACCTTGTACTATTGTGTCTCCTGATGTAAACTAACATTGTAAGAGACTGGTAAGGGCTATATTCGAACGACAGGGAGATGGACGTTTCAAATGCAGTTTGAATGGTAAATTTCTTTTTCGCCACTGTCAATGTCTAAAGCCAAGATGGCTGCAAATGTGAAGGTGTGTGTTTGAAGGAGTGTAACATCAGTAGACTGCTTGCTGTGAGTAGATGATTTCAACATATTGACCCGGGGACACATACACTGAATATTTAACCTACAGGTAAAACATTGCTGAGAACATGAAACCCTTCCAAATGTGTTCCTAATTTGTCATATTAAGAGGTTAATCTGTTGAACATATAACCCTGATACATAGATACACTCCCAAGGGTGGAGCGTTATGAACAGACAGGAATGTAGTAAGGAATGTCCTCAGACATCTTAAACAGAAACCCATTACACTGAACAATGGACGGTTAAAAGGCAGGCAGGGTGATGATATACTGTATTTAAAAAGTATTGATTGTGGCCTATTGTAGAAACAGTTGCCCCTGTTTAAGGTGGGATTTTCTAATTATAGTGTGTGTGATTGTTCCCAGCTTATGTACTAACTGTATGTTATTGCTAGCAAGCCAGCTGCAATGGACGCACCGACCGTGGGAGTGTGTTTGTGCGTGTCTGTCTGACTGAACTCCAGTTCTTTCTTTTATTTCCCAACCAGTCTCTCTCCCTTTTTCTCTTGTCTCTGTTTTGTTCATAAAGCCAACTTGTTCAACTTGTTCGAATGCGTCTTAGTCGACCAACAGGAAATTAATGCTCCATGCATGCATGCACTGGTTTTAGCGCCTTTCACACTACATCTGCATTCATCATTCACACACACATTCAAAAACAGAACAGCCGCCAGGGGAAATTCGGGGTTCAGTATCTCGCCCAAGGACACTCCGACATGCAGCCTGGGGGAGCCGGGGATTGAACCGCCAACCTCTTAACAGTAACTCATATAACAGTACACACTGGTAACTGGTTGAGGGCCCCTCATCGCTGCCATTTTTTTGGGAGCTTCTCATTTGGTGCCTGAGGCCATTCTTGCCTACCTGTTTGTCCAGGCGCTCGGCCTTGGTGGACACACTCTCGTGGCCTTTGTGCTGGTTGCTGGTGCACAGCCAGCAGACAAACACTTTACACTGGCGACAGAAGAACTCCTGCAGGTACTTGTGCTGGGTGCAGATCTTCTCAGCCAAATTGCCCGTGGGTGCGATCAGCTCATGCTGCTTCAGGGACTTCTTGGTCTTGTGGGGCTTCAGGTGGGATTCGCAGTATGAGCTCATACACGACAGGCAGCTCTTGACCGCTGCTCGCTGTTCATCTTTGCACAAGTCGCATGGCACTGCTGTGGTGGAGAGCTTCCCTTTGGGTCTAGACGAGGAGGCGGCAGCACCACGGGCGCTTCGCATAGACTCACGCACGTCAGCTTTGAGAGCCCCTTTGCGGAGCTGCTCTACTGCCTCAGCCAGCATGGTGTTCCTGGACAGGGAGGGCTTGGGGCAGAAGGTCTGGCGGCACTGGGGGCAGCTGTAGACCCCCTTGGGGTCGTCCTTGCTCCAGTAGTCCTTGATGCAGGCCATGCAGTAGCTGTGCCCACAGGGGATGGTGACTGGATCGTTTGGGAGCTCCAGACACACAGGGCAGTTAAACTGCTCCTCTGTCCACAGTTTAGCACTCATGCTTACACTGTCAAACCCAATAGAAAGAAGAAACCGAGAGAACAGAGAGATGGTTAGTAGGTATGACACTCAGGGATGTTTAGTAATCCAAAGCAGAACAGTGGAAGAGAAAGATCCAGGAAAGTGAAGAGGTTTGTTTAGCCTGGACTCACAGGAGGAAAATGCTGTCTCTCAGGCGAGAGTGGGTAGAGGTGAGCGGGGCGGGGCCAGAGCCACCAGGCAGGTCTAGCGGGGTAAACAGGTGTTGGTGGAAAGCTTCTAAATACCAGTAGAGTAAAGGTGTGAACAGACACAGATCGTTTTATCATTTCACCAAACCAGTGGTGAAAGAGGTAACAGATGATTGATGGGACAGAAGAAAACACAGCTGTGCAACACAAATTACAAATCTTATTATTTATTTTTTTTACTAAATCTTTGTTTTGTGTTTGAAATACTGGCATTGTCTCATCATCTGTTTGGGCCTTGAACAGTTATTTAAATGAAACCATGTGAGAAGTTCAGTGAGGAAATGTCTCTTTGGTGGAGCCGTGACAGAGTCAATCAATGCAGCACTGAGCTTGAGATATTGTGACATTTAGTCCCCAGTATGGATCCTAGGGTTTAGGGTTAGAAATGCATCAGTGTCTAACGTTTTCCTCCCATCACTTGCTTTGTAACATGCTGTTTATTTGGGCTCAGGTCTTCATTGAGTGAAAATGAACTTTGTTGACCTACTGAATCATTGAAGTGTGTGGTTTCTGATCAGCATTTTGGAGGATACTGATGGACTCCCTACCGATCGAACAGTGCTGAGGATGCTGGAAAAGGATGCTGTTCAACAAAAAGTCATTTGTATCTTTACGTCAGGGATGAAGGAACAGAGAAAAGGGAAAAGAGAGCAGAAATGATGTGTTTCTCAGTTAGTGTTATGGACTGGTAGAACTTGACACACATAATCAGTCACTATGAGGAATGATTTTTCAGATAGCTATGTTAATAATTTACAGAGTTCAGTTTACTTGGCTTTTTTTGCAGCATTATTGATCTTTTCATTTTAAAGAAATGCAAGTAAATGAATACTGAAAACTTACCAGCGATACCAGGATAACCACTGTACTACTACATGGAGACATTGTGAACACTGTCTACACACAACATTTTGTTTTACAAAAAAATTACAAATCTTTATTTCTCTTTCCACAGGAAGAAGAATCTCATTATCTCTTACACATCAAGTCATTATCTCTCTGTCCTACACTCGATGGCATTCTTGTTTTAAATTAAATGAATGAATCGATAGTCATTTAAAATGTGTTTAATTAAACTTGTGTTCCAGTCAGTGAAGTTTTGTTTAGTTGTAACTGTTTCACTTTGTGAAAAAAAAAAAAAGGGAAGATGGCTTTAAAGTCGATTTAAAAAACCCTGTTCTTACTTTGGCTAAAATGAAGCTGGTCAACCCTCATCACACAGGACCTTTCAACCCCCCTGATTCTGATCAGAAATCCTCATTCAGGCACTTTCCCAGGTTTCACATGCATCTTACTATGAAATGTTTTGTGCATGTTCATACTTATATATCCTATGATTTCTAACACAGAGGTTTTTAAAGTGTGAGGCGGGCCTCCCCAGGGGGGATCCAAACTGTTAAAGGGAAGGCTCAGTGAATGGAAGTGAAAAAACGTTTCATTTAGTACACTTTCCCAGAGTCAGAATAAATGTATTAGATGCCAAACAGCAATATTAGGCTATCTTGGCTCAATTGGTGCGTGTCTTTGGGATCAAATAACATAATCATGATCTCGTAGGCATACAAGAATTGAGCAAAACTAAGCAAGTAAACTAAGGGGGGCTGAGACCCACAGTTTCAGACTTTGAAAACCCCTGGCCTACCACATATAAGCTAAGTGCTATGATCATTTACAACTGACCTTTTTCAGTTCACGTCACAATATTCCCTCTAGGTCTACAACTACAATATACAGTGAGCACAACTTGTCACTAGGGAGCAGTGTTGCACCTCTGTTCTTTTACTAGCTTCTTCTGGCGCTTGTTAGCATAACTATTGTCAATATTGTCATTGCTGTTGTTGTTGTTGTTATTTGTTATTATCACTCGTCTATTGTTATCTTTTATTATGTATTGACTGTCTTACCTGGATTTGAAAAGTGTCCTTGGGTGGTTAGAAAGGCGCTTATAAATAAATATATTATTAATTAATGTATTACATCAGCTACGTATTACTTACTTACCGTAATATACTTGCAACCCTATTTCACAGAACCAAACAAGAAGCTAATGTACCGTAACTCAGACAGCAAGAGTGGACTCATTTCCCAAACGATTTGTTTAAGCGAAGACGGAAGTACACAGACGGGAATCCTCTTGCACCTCAGACAGCTACTCCACAGCAGCCCTGCCGAGTTAGGTCTGTTTAGCTAACTTCATTTATGGGTCTCTTTTAGGTTTGCCCAGATGTCAGATAAAACCGTGAAACGCCCAGGAGTTGGTGTCGGGGTGCTTGTGACAGATTCAGCCCACCCAGGCTGTGTGCTCCTGGGGAAACGGAAAGGCGTAATGGGCAAAGGAACATACCAGCTCCCCGGAGGCCACTTGGAGTTTGGGTAGGTAGGTAACGTTAGCTTTTAATTCAGCTGGTTAGCATACTCCATTCACAAATCTGACACTTCTTAGCAGCATATTTATGTGATGCAAGGCTGTTTATGAATGTTTGACACTGTCCTTCATTCATATGATTCAGCAAACATCTTTTCCCGCAGCTTCAGATTAGGCAGTTAAACACAGGTCCAGATCAAAAACCACTACGCCTAGAGCTGTCAAATCTGGACTAGATCATGCCAGAGAAGCTACAGTTTCTTTAAAGCATTGTTTCAGATTCATGAAACTTTTATCCTATTTTTTTTTTTTTTTGCATATAGGACACATTTAATTAGGTCCACATCAATAAACACCATACCTAGAGCTGTCAAATCTAGACTAGATTATTCCAGAGAAGACACCTTTGACTATTGTGACGTTTTCTGCCATGTTACCATAAAGGTGAAATGTTCAGCAAATATTAAGACATGTTCTGAATGTGCTGACTGACTTCCAGTGGATGTGACATTTATTTCTATGTCCCTGAAAGAGAGACGTGGGAGGAGTGCGCTCACAGAGAGGTGTTAGAGGAAGCAGGGGTGCATTTGGTGAACATCCGCTTTGCATCAGTGGTGAACTCCATCCGCCTGGAGGATCAGTACCACTACGTCACTATAATCATGCAAGGAGTACTGGACAGGAAGAAGTCAGGAGAGCCAGAGAACATGGAGCCGGAGAAGAACGAGGGTGAGTAAAGTTAAACTACAGTTTTTCTTAAATTGAAAAACATGATTCCCACCTGACTGAGCAGTTCATTATAGAGACTGTGTGCTTCTCTCCCTCTCAGGTTGGACATGGACACAGTGGGACCAGTTTCCTCCAGAGGATCAGCTCTTCTTGCCGCTAGCCGGTCTGAGACAACAGGGCTTTCACCCATTCAGGACCACAGTAACAAACACTGAGCCATGAAACTGCTGTTAACACTGGGAAACTTTTAACCTACATCAAAAGATAAAACACACTTACCTCTTTATGTTTTCTGTTACGGTACATACTGTAATTTCTGCCAGTATCATGAACTTTTGTTACAAATGTAGTAGAAGATTTATGTGTTTTCTATTTAAGGAATTCATGACATACAGATTGTCAGCTGTACATTCATTTAGATTTAAAGCAAAGAATGCATTAGCTGTGTTCAATTAATGGGCTTCACAAGTGTTTTAAAACACACACATTAAAACAACAAACATTGAACATATTTAAAGATTTTATTCTTTTTGGTAATTGCTCTTTGGCACCAGATCATGTCAGTTATATTATATATATTCAATGTTAAATAAATAAATAATCATATATTCTAATGCCTCAGCTATTGGCAGCAAAATGACTCAAACAGTTATACGGAGATAAATATTTCAGATTATTAAAAGACACTTAATAAAAGACAACAGTTTTATAGTAGTATGAACCAAATATGCACTATTATTTTTCAACAACAACAATTCTGCCTCAAATGAGAATCAAACAGATTCTGCAGGATGACTGAAACTAAAAGAAGTACAGCTTTAGTCAGTTTCCCTCATTTTTTCTACCTCACATCAGAGTGGTGCCGGCGACACCCACTCCTAACAGCATGGTCCACAGGGCTGCAGCAGTGGGTGCCACAGCACCATTAAAGGTCTTGTCGTGGGCGTAGGTGATGATGTGCAGGGCTCCGCTGTAGGCCTCCTCACAGGTCGGCTGGATCTGATCCTCGGGAAGCTGGAAGCCAAATGTCCCATTGTCTCTCAGCTCAAAGGTGTAAGTGTAGGGGATCCCCTGCAACCGAGCCCAGTCTCTGGATGAACCAGAGTTGGGGTCTGTAGAAAGAGGGTACACATTTAACTGGCCGTCATGTAACCTTCTCAATGAGCTTTAGTAGCCACTTTATTTTACATTTATGGATGATTCCTTCAAACCTAATATTTATAGTTACACTCACACAACCAGTGTATTGTTAGCTAAACTAAAAACCAGTAAAAAGATGATGAGTGTGAGTAGAGCAAAAATAAACTAAACCAAGTAGGAGTTCAGTTGGAAAACAGCCCTCCTTTAAAACAACACACAGGACTGATGTTGGTGGGAGCGTGTTGCTTCAGGTACTAACGAGACATGAAACACAATCCAGAAAATTTCAGGAGGTTTCAGTTTCATGGCGGAGACCTCTGCCTCGGCTAAAGTCCGCCTGAACGTGGTCCTAGAATCGACAGTTTTAACCTAAATACTTACAGCCACAATGCTAACACACAAACAGCAGGTATAATGTTTACCATATTTACCACATTAGTTTAGCATGCTAATATGTTAACATTTACTGATTAGAACTAAACACAAAGTACAGCTTAGGCTAATGGGAATGTGATTTGTTTTGGTATTTGGTCATAAACCAAAATATGCCCGAATATCAAAGTGGCACTAGATTAAAAGTCAAGGGATTACCAAAGTCTTACTGAGGGTGGCACAAATGTGTGTACCAAATTTCATTGCAACCCATCGTAGTTGTTCATAGTGGCTAGACGAAAAACCCTCTAGCCTGAACTTGAGACTATGAATGTCTGTACCAAACTTTGTGCCAATCCATTGTGTAGATGTTGAGATCAGTTCAGTCTGGGCCAAAGTGGTGGACCGACAGACCTTTATTGCCATCCCTAGAGCTACGATGCCAGCAGTGCTGAAAATAATGAATCTGTGAGAAGCAGTGATGTGTGGACTTACACAATACGTTCGGTGAGCTTCCTACAGTG